GAGCTTGGCCACACCCCGCTCAGCTGCATGCTGTGGAAGGGAAGGAAGGGCTGCTCTAGCACCCCCAGCTTCTAGCCTGAGCCACTGCAGGCATGTGCCTACGTTTCTGGGATGTCTGTCCATACAAAACTGATTTAGCCTAGCCAGGTTAAACTAACCTGCAAAGATTGAATCAATTCAGGCTCAGGCTTTTGAATGTCTGTCCCTACCGTATGGAGAGCTGCCACTGTTTTGATTACCATTCCCGTTTTGTGAAGGGGGTAACTAACTATACAAATCCTAATGTGAACCATCTCCAGCATAGTTAACCTGGATTTTAATTTATCCTAAATGTTCCTGCTTATTATCCTAATGTATAACACAGAGCCCAGGAGCTCATTTAGTACAATTTTATTAGACTTTACTTAAAAAAAGGTTTCTGGAAGGAGATTATAGTACAAATGGACTCTAACAATATTTAAAAAAAAAACAACCTTCATAATAGCTGCAACTATGTCCTTCTTAAGTATGATTGCTGGAGACTTCACACATAAATAATGGCCTTTTCTGAAGTAGAAGTTTCATCTCCTTTTATTTATTTATCATCTATCTAGCTGATCATGTAGTGAAGTCACAATGGATAAAAGTAAACTCAAATATTTATTTGGGGGATGGGGGGGGGGAAGAGAAGAAAAGTCATGATGGAAGTATCACTGCAAATCCCATAAAATATGGGACAGAAGGAAAACGTTTAATTACTTTTACTGGCAAACCAGACATTAAAATGATGAAATCCATACATTGTGTTTTCTAGTGAAAAATTAAAATTTAATTCTAAAGAGAACCAGAAGTATTCCTGGGAGATTGAGTGCTGAAGTCCCTCTTAATCAGAGGGCCACTTAAAGCATTGTTCCTCTTTGCCCAAATAGCCTATATTTGAGATCTTGCCAGGCTGTTAAGCAAAAACAAACAAAAAACGACTCTGGTATTTCTTTGGTGCCATCCTGTTCGAAAAAAAAAACAAAACAGTGGACAAAGTCCTGTTTCCCTGAATATTACAGAAATAGCAGTTTCCTTGCTCCTAAAATTGGTCTACCCTTCTGAAAAGTACAGCCAGAGAGTCTTGCTGCCTTCTTCCAAGGCCATGCTCAAACTGCTTTCCCTGCTTTTAGATCTCTATCTACAGACAGCCATAATTAAGACCCTTGCCCATGCATTTGCTGTCATTGCCAGGGAAACTACTTTTATTCCCTGTGTTAGTTCTGTTCTTGTGGCCTGGTGCCATGGTTGGCAGCTTCTGTTTTTTCAGCTGCCACTACAAAGGGGAACATAATTGCTCCTTTCATTTTGTCTGTCACTAATCTATAGATCAAAGACTCATTTGAAGGCAGTGATTAATACTGTCCAGAATTACCATTTTTCAAAGTTGACTTGGCCTCATTGGAGAATGCGCCCAAAATTAAGATTGTTTGCAGAGCAGATAGACAAATAAAATATCAGTATCAGCAAATTTCCCAGATGTTCACAACTTTAGACTTCAGACCCTTAAGTTGCCAAAGTTGTTCTCAGACAGTCAAAGACATGTACATGAAAAAATACAACCAGAAACAATTCCACCACCACTAATAGAAGTGGAGGTAAGAGAATGGAGGAGAGCTGTGTGCATTCAATACTTGTATTTATGTCAATTTTCCTTGATGCCTCAAGTGTCTCAGAGGTTTAATATAGAAACCTGAAGTCTTCTGAAAAGGGAAGTCTCTTTATTGCATAAGTATCCATCAATGATCTGATGAAAATCTGTTTTGACCAAGTTAAAGCACATTATGTGAGCACAACCCCCCCCAAGTTTTGGGGACTTGGGTATGGTTTCATTTTTAAGTTAACAGATGCATCTACAACAGGATTTGAAAGGATGTGCTAATGAAAAACTAGCACAAGACAGAAGTAGTATGAGAAGCCAGTCATTTCATTAGTGTTCTGTGGGAGTGCTTCTACTGGGCACACCTGTTCCATGAAGCAAATTTCATTAGTAGTCTATAAAGAGCCTAGGCACTTAACTTACGGCTTACACTATCCCAGAGAAGTACACTGTAGGCAACTATCAGTGGCTCCTACCTTGTGTCTGGGTGCAGAACATGCTATTTGCAAGGAGTAAACAGCTACCATGAAATAAAACTACAGGCATGATGCCAGGGCAAGTTTCACAGGTGCAGTTTTACCCCAAATGCTTTTAGCATTATTCTGCATTGGACTGAGTACTGTTACTGTAAGGTGTTATATCATCTGTCTGTTCTTTATTTGTGCCAATGTTATAAGTCAGTTGCAACACTATAAGCATGTAGTGTGCCAACACCCCGATTCTACTTTATGGGTTTTTCGCTTTATCTTAAAAAAAAAAAAACAGCAGTGGTGCGGAACCTTTTTGGCTGGTGGGCCAGATGGGCAGTGCCCAGCCCCTCCATGGACCAAATCTGCCTAGTGGACTCAATGTGGCACCCAGAGTGCCATGTGGAAGAGAGCAGGTAGGAGGGTGCAGCCTGGCCCAATCCAACTGTGCAGAGGAAGAGGGCATGGCCTGACTCCAACCAGGCAGGGTGGAAAGAACAGGAGCATAGCCCAGCCATCTGTCTGCTCCCTATCCTCCACCCTGACATAAGGAAGGGGGCATGGCTCAGCCCCAGCCTGGCAGGACAGAGGGAAGCGGGAGTGGCCCAGCCTCATGGAGGAAAGTAGTCATGGCTCAGCTCTGACCCACTGCTCAGGGCTTGGGATTCTGGCAGCAGGTAGGGGCAGCAATATTAACTGCTGCCGCTCTCCCATGCCAAAATTTCCTGACCCATGGGGAGTCCCAGAGGTCAGATTCCAAGGCTTTGTGGGCTGCATGTGGCTCATATGCACAAGTCTGAGCACCCCTGCTATAAGGTGTTTCATCTGGCTCCTTGTTTTCCTCTGTTACTCCATCAATTAGTCCTTGAGCGCACTCTTATGTCCCTCTAATCCAGGAACTCACTACAAAGCCTCCTCATACCCACTTTCCATATGAAGCCTTTCCTCCAAATGAGTATCCGTTACTGCTTCCATGACTCCATCCTCCCCTCCCTCTGTATTTCTTCTATAGGACCCCATTCTTCTGGCCAATCATGATATAACCTGTATGCACCCAGAAATCTCCTTCTCTCAGTTCCATCCTTGCTCTTCTGAACCCTTGCACCTCTGCCTTCTCTTTTAAGAGAAGGCTGAACCTTCCCAACACTGAAAGGCCCTGCTTCCAGTTACCCTTACTGACTCTCCCAACTCTGTTACATTAGACACCTCTTCCTCCAGCATTAGTGTCCTACCTCCACACAAATCCTGCTTATAAAAGGTTCTTTTTCTATTTAAGAATCCAGGCAACAGACATTCTTCACATACAGCAATTTAAGTTGCTGCCCAACACTCACGTTGCTCAGCTGCATGTATGTGTGGAGAAACTGTTAGAGATTCCTCTTTTTATACTACCACTAGGCAGTTCTGGAAGCTCAAATTTTATTCCAAGGCAGGGTTCTCAAATGTTACGATTTGCAAGGTTGTACCTGCTGAGGCTGAAAATATTTCCTCAGTTTTTGTAGTTAGTTTTGAAAGGTCACTTCCAGTTACATTAGACAGAAAGCTATAATCTACTTGAGCACTAGACCCTGCCTCACATGACCAATTACAGAAAGTCTTTAAAAACTCTCTCTCTCTCTTTCTCTCTCTCCCTCTCTCTTCCTCTCTCTCTCTCTCCCTCCTGGTCTTCATACATTTGTCTCCCTTCCATCTTCAGACTGTTTCCTTAGACAAAGGCCAACAAAACAAGAGAACCTTCTGCTCCCAACACAGATCTGTTTGCTTAACAGGCTCAGAAGGAGAGATCTTTCATATCCAAGATGATGCAATGACTAAATTCCCCAATGTGAAAGAATGAATTCAGAAAGGAATTGGAGCTGCTCTCAGGAGAAGGCTAGATTTTAAACTGGTACTAAACAAAGAAGGCACCAAAAGCCTTGCTTAGTCTATAGCTGCTTCCTCTCCTGAAGCTGACCCTTCTGGAGGTGACAAAAAACTGCTGAATTCTAGACACCCATCCATCTGTGCCCCTACACAATATTTATCTGCAGTTCCAGTGGGGGACAGCCCGTTGAACAACAACTAATTTTTCCTTACTGCCTCCAAGAGTTGCATGCTCAGACAGTATCCATCCTACTTATCAGTTTTTATCTTAGATAAAAGAGCGCTGGAAACCAAGCTCTGCTCTGAAGAATCAATGGATTTCCCCCTCACCATTCTATGTAGCATGTAGCTTAATGAGTGGAGTAAGGGAAAACAGCAAAAAGCTTTAAAAAAACGAAACAAAACAAAACAAACAAACAAACAAAAAACCACACTTTAAAAAATAAAGAGAAAGGTATAAGGGGAAAAAGCTGTAAAGGCAACCATGCTAAGGCATTTGAGGGTACAAGATTTCAAAGCACTGCAGTAGTCACATTAGCTTTCTTTACAGGATTTTATTTTAGCAAACAGAAAAGCAGCAAACAAGGCAGGACTGAAAAAGTGAAAACTCAGTGGGGTATTTAACAGCTCTACAAAAAGGCATATTCCCATATGATCACATTTTTTTAAACAAGTTTAATGCTTTACTGTTCTTAGGGATTTACAACACCAAAGCACAATAGGCACTGCAGGAAGGAAGGGAGATTCCTTGCTCCGAAAAACCTGCCTTTTGTACATTTTCACTCCTGCCATTGCTGCATTCATACTGAAGTTACATTGGGCTCTCTGCTGGAACAGCCTGCTCACTGGCATCACATTTAGTTTCAAATGTCTCAATTTATAGTGTGGCTGCAGCACTTTAACAAGGAAGCAGATCTGTTGGCTCTACTACATTTATACAACCAGAATCCAGTTTTCAGACATTCACAAAGCTCATAACATACTATTAGAATAAAATACACTAAATATCCACACAACACATCTGACAGGGGCTTCTAAGTTCTTAAACTTACCGAAAAATAGGAGTATGGCCAGGCTTTGGTTTGTTCCAAGTAAAGTGCGAAGGAACAGAGAGGAATTGGTCAGTAGGCAAATCCTTTTTTAACACGTGTTGCGATCCTGAGCAATCATCCACTGCAGTTTCAAGGGATGGTGATAAACTACCCTGTTCTTCAGAACAGAGGTCTATTTTTCCTGATAAAGTGGCAGTTTGATCCTCAGAGGTCTTTCTTGTTTTAAGAGGGATGTCAGTCTCTGTACAACACTGAAATGGTGACAGGCCAGAATTAAGACCTTGTACACTATGAAGAGAAGTATTTAGCCATGTATCTTCTGTTATACTTCCCCTGGGAGAGTGGCCAGGTGATGGAGTTGGAGAATGATGGGGAGACAGAGAACCAGCATAACAAATCTCGGCACTGGAGTGTCGCCGCTTCCCACAGGGGGATGTAGGTCTTGAAGAGGGCCTTGATGGTGGTCTTGGGCTTAGCCAGTTTTCATCTGTAATACTAGTTCTAGGAGAATGACAAGGAGACTGTCTAGGTGATAAGGCATGCCCAAATCCATAAGGCTGTTGCCAAGTGTCATCCCCTGGACCTCTTGGAGAACCGCCAGGAGATGCCAAAGGAGATCCGAGGGTAAATCTAGCAGCAGCTTCATTAAGCTCAGAGTCTACATCATCATAAACATGAGAAATGGATTCACAAGAGGAAGCATCTGAGAACCAGCTCCTGGAGGAAATGCTGCTGGCAGGGCTTGGACTAAGGGATGATTCCCTGTATGATGGCTCAAGGGGAAGATATAGGTGGTCCCTTGAAGGCCTTTCCATATATTCATTTTCTGTGCCATTTGTGTGCAAGTCATCCTCGCTGGCTTCAATTCCTTGATGACAATTAGGAGATATAGATGTAATTTGAATACTAGGGCACTCAAATGGTTTGGGTCCACCTAGTGGGCTGTATTTGGATTCTGGTACCTCGCAAGTCCCTTCATAGTTTTTATGACCTTGTAATCTGGCAGGTGGGGACAGAGGAGAGGTGTGTGGTTGCAATCCATGGCAAGGGATACAAATTGGCTGATTTACAGATGATGATGGCTGGTCTACATTAAAGATGTATATGGATGCACAGTCATCTGGTTCAAGATCTGGAAAAGGAAACAAAGGAAGAGTCAGAGTGTAATACTTAATATGTAGAGTCTCCTTATTCAATGAGATTGATACCCTGGCAGGTCTCTGATTTTCCACATGCTGAATGCCAGAGTTTCCCCAGGGAAGTGACTACAAAATAAAGATTTGTATCATGGAAACCATCTCTTGCCCATATCTCTTTCAGAGTTTTAAACTTCTACATTTAAATACATTTATACTTTCATGAGAAAACATTCTAGGAATTTTTGTCCAATACCACACCAGTGATCTTTCACCCATTGCTTTTCATCAGATTCCATAATATATTGTTATTTCAATGTGTAGGACATATCATTAAAAGTATTTAGAGTTCATGTTTTAAAGTTTAAAGTTGGTGCAAATGTATTTTTTACATTATACAGAAAACACATAGAAATGTCTTCTGATTAATATGAAATTTCATGCATCTTCAATAAATACCATTTCCTTGTAGATATGTACAGAGACTGTACTTTCTTGTAGTCCAGCTTGTCATTTACTTAATTGTTAAAATGCTTAACAGCATTTACTTCCTTTAAAATTGGATTAGAAACAAAAAAAATATTCACTATTCAAACCTTTATTCAAAATTATAAATAGGTCCACATTCAGTTCTGGGTGGCATGTGCAGTAATGGTTTTTACGGTGAAACGAGTCAGCACATTTGGCTTTTTACTTAAAGCTGAGGTATCCTAAGCAATCCTATTCCAGAAAAAGCTGTAGACTGCAAGCCCTGAAAACTGAGAGCCTTTAGCTATAGTACCACAGGGAGCAACTTCACCTGTCTCCTGTGATGGCAAAGCACCAACTTCAAGAGCAAGACAGAAAGAAGCTACAAGATACTGCACTTGCTTTATTACCAGCAGAGCAGTTACTTCAGTTACTTACTAGCTACTGTTTCTTCAGTGCAGGGGTACACATAAGAACAGCCACTAAGAAAGACTACTAGAGGGATATGTCCCTCAGAACCTAATTCAGGGTTCACCCTGGTGCATGTTTCAACTTTAAACCCTGATTAGGGCAAAGGGGGGGGAAAGTGAAGCCTGGAGCAGAAAACTGACTACAATTCAGTCACCTGATTCCCTCCCTCTTACTGGATGCTGGCCAGGAGCTACAAAAAGAAGCATCAATGCCTGCTCATGGTTAATTGTGGGCCACACAACAGCTCTGTGGTTTGTATTTCTACATTCTGGGATAATTCTTACAAAAAGAAGGAGAACAAATAGCAACAACATCCCATCCCACTCCCCACCAACATTTGGGATGGAAAGGAATCAGTTGAGTACATAAATACAGAGCTCTTGTCTGGACTAAAAAAACATATCTGGAACTGGTTAAAGAAATGTGTACCAACCTAGCTCCTAAAGATAAGCAAAACAAGGTTAGTTGCCATAACTAGTAAGTTTTAACTGTGTGCCTTGCAGAGACAGTATTCAATATGCTGTGACAGTAACTGGCTGCAAACAGGATTCTACTATAACTGTACATCTCTAAATATCAGAATGTCTTTAGCAATAAGTGTTGTAAAGTATCCAAGTACCTTGGTAATAGGTGTTCAAATATTTTGTTTTCTTTAAGCAAACAGACTTTTTTCCATAGCCTATACTTCTTACCTTTCCATAGATTTCACAGACATTAGGGCTGGAAAGGACCTCAGGAGATCATCAACTCCAGCCCCCTGTCCCAAGGGCAGGAAGTCAGCTCGGGTCAAAGGATCCCAGTAAGATAAGTGTCCAAACACTTCTTAAAAAAAGAGTCCAGAGTAGGTGCCTGCACCACCTCTAGAGGGAGCCTATTCCAGGCCTTGGGAGCTCGGAGAGTAAAGACGTTTTTCCTTATGTCCAGCCTAGAACTGTCTTGGAGGAGTTTGTGACCATTGGTCCTTGTCATCCCTTGGGGTGGTCTGGGGAACAGATGTTCCCCAAGATCCTGATGCACATCCCTTATATACTTATAGGCTGCCACCAGGTCCCCCCTGAGCCTTCACTTTTCCAGATTGAAGAGTCCCATGGCTCTCAGTCTCTTCATAAGGCCTATTCTCTTGCCCTCTGATCATTCACGCGGCTCTCCTCTGGACTCTCTCAAGCTTCTCCTCATCCTTCCTGAACTGTAGAGCCCAGAATTGGATGCAGTACTCTAGCTGTGGCCTCACCAAGGCCGAGTACAGTGGGAGGATGACATCCTGAAACTTACTTGAGAAGCATCTATTGGATGCAAGCCAGAGTTTAGTTTGCTTTACCAGCTACGACAACGCATGGGTGGCTCATGTTCATCTTGTGGTCAGTCATGACCCCCAAGTCCCTTTCGGCCTTGGTGCTAGCGAGCTGCTAAACCTATAAGCATGCTGCAGGTTCCCCACCCCCAGGTGGAGTACCTTACCATTTGTCAGTATTGAAAGTCATCAGGTTTCTATCTGCCCACCTTTTTGTTGGCTACAAATGTCCAACTCTGGATCCTTAAAATTCTGGTTTATTAGGTGGACTGAAACACTGTTATGAGTTAAATCATAAACCTTGGGGCTGGTCCTTACACACACACACACACACACACACAC